TGCATCTTTGCTCAAAATTGATTATGACCAAATGAGAGCGTTATTGAAGAGAGAGTCGCGAAATACGTAATCAACATAGTACACGTAACGAACGAAGCATACCATATGAGAACAATTGCAGCATAAATACCGAGAATGACATGAATACATACCATTCCAACTTGTCGGAAATCAAAACAATAAACATTATGAAATATAGTTGCGAGTAGTACGGGGAAATGGAAAAGCAGTCATACATATACATATGGTTATGTATGCTTGACATACATATTTGTTTTTATGCATAATATCAACAAGTAAATAAATATATAAAAGAATTATTTGCCGCATTAAATGGGTTCCAGAATTTTTTTATATATTTTGTTTTATTGAGAAAAATTTGCAAAATGCGTTCTTTCGAAATTTTGAGAAATTGAAAACAGAATCCAGTATTTTAGTGATTTCGGAACAAATTGAAGTTTTTGAGTAGAGTGAAAAAATGTTACAAACTTATTTTTAAAGACTTTCCTTTTTTTTCTATGAAGAAGCTATAAAAAATAGATATTGTAATAAAGAAATACTAAGTCAACCTTTTTTAAAAATAATAATGCAATTAATTTTAGCCCGAAAGCTTTAGTAATACTTATTAATCAATCTTTCTACGTGTTGCCGAAGTGGGTCGGAATAAGCTCATATTCTTAACAGGGCCTTTGGATTTTCCCAAAATGCGAATTTGCTCTTCATTAAATCGCATAGTTGTGTCAAACCATGTTAAGCTTACACCCACCTTTTTAGTAGCTTCCACCTATCACGATTAAAATACACCAATTCATAAGTAAATCATATCTCAACGTATTTCAACGGCTTTTAAGAACTCTAATGACTACTTTATAGACGATGCAAGACCAAAATTGTTTATGATATTGTTGCCTTTATAAATCTCAGTATTTGTGTGTATGTATGTGTATACAGCAACCATGTGTTGTGAATTTATGTGTAGACAAAATGCTAATGGCTATGATAATTCGGTCAAAAAGGCATAAATATACGTGTCGAAACGAGCGCTAACATGTCAATTCATCAAAACAAATGCCAGCAAAAACAAAAAATATTTATACACACATGCATACATGTATATAATGTGCGCGAGTTTGTACATTTTATTTATTCAAAACACAGCGTTGACAAAACGTTGCACTTCTCTTCATAAATCCTTTTTAGTTTTAAAATAAAATGCTAATGATTATTTTTTAGCATTGTTGTTTTTGTTGTGCATTGTTGTAAAATATATATGTATTTATAATTTTTTGCAAATATTTTATGCGCCGAAAAACGTTAGCAACACGAAATTAGCATACTTATTTGAATTTGTATGGCGTGTGCGAACATTGAAAATAATTTCAGTTTGTCTTTTGTTTTTGTATCTGCTCTTTTGTGCGAATTCAGCATTGTGAGACTTGGAGCGGGCGTAACGGCGTGCTGCTACAATGCTCGCGAATATACCGAAAAGGAAGTCATAATTTTGCGTTTCGTTGGCATTGACTGAATTGATTTATTACAAAAAATTTCGCGCTGAAAATTTGTATGAAATGCCGAAAAACAATAAAGTTGAAAGACGTATTATACTTTCCTCTTTCCGCACTTTCTATTCAGTTATTTTGTGTGTTTGTATGTTAATTCAGACATTTAGTGTTTTAATAAGAATTTTGGCAGCAGCATAGTAGAGCTGCTGTGAATTTTAATTTTTCGATGTATTTGAAAAAAATTTCTTATTTATGAAAAAATTGAATTGTTGAAAATATAAACAAATAGTAAATTTTGAAATATTTATTTAAATAATTTTCAAAAAAAAAGAAATTTTTAAAAACAAATTAGAAAAAAAGTTTTTTAAAAATATTAAAATTTCAAAAAATTATTTTTAAAATCGACAGAAAGTTCTTTGAAATTTTATATTTCGAAAACTTTTTAAATTTCGAAAACTAAATTTGATATTTTAATATAATATATATTTTTATAGAAAAAAATTATTTGAGAAAAGAGAATAAATTCGAAAAAAAAACAGTTTTTGAAAAATCAATAATTTTTGTTAACAAAATTTATTTTTAAAAAACGGACAATCGAAGAAATTTCTTGATATTTTTTAAATTCCGAAATTTTTTTGAAATTTCCAAAATTATTTTCGATATTTGAATGTATAATAATATTTATCTTTACAAAAATAAATTACTTTGAGAAAATTAATGTTTAGAAAAAAATCGAAAGTTATTAGAAATAAATTTCCGTAAAGAAATTCTTCGAATAATTTCATATTTTAAAAGTATTCTAATATACGAAAGCGCGTCTGACAATATAGAGTTTCGAAAAATTTAAGTTTTGCAAAATATTGTTTCTCAAGAACTATTAAGCATATATATTGTGCAACATGTCAATATTTTATATTTAATATTATAACATTGTTTCAAAAAAAATTATTTCAAAAGACATTAATTAATATTCTTAAATCGAATAAGATAAAATATGCTTTTGTAAAAATAATTATTTTTATATATTGTAAATTTCTTTATATTTCATTGGAATATTATTTAAAAATTTATTTTTGTTATCGAAATTTTGAAAACTATTATTTTGTTCGATATTACAACAGTCAAATCAAAGTTAAAGAAATCTATTTCGAAAGTTTGTTTTAAATTAAAATTTAAGATTCCACTCACTTTGAAATAGATTCGCCGTGGATTCGAGTATGCCGCGAAGACTATTGGTATGATGATGCAACAGACGTTCGAATTCGCCGGTGGACTTCTTTCTCAGCTCCAATTCGGTTGCATTCGTACAGCAGTGGCCGCCACAAATGGCACCTAAAAGAGTAGACATAGATGGTAAATATTTAGAGTGAATTATTTATATTTATAAATGAGAATATATATTTGCAGCGAATAGCATCGATTTTAGTACAAACCGACAGGTTCTTTTAATTTGTATGAGTTTGTTCTCTATTCAACTGCTGATTTTCTAGCTGATCGCCTCAGGAGCAATATCATTTGCAATACTAAACAATATTAATTGAAATTATATATTAGTTTAAGTATTACTAGTTGGACTTCACAAGATAAGTCTTATTAATTTTCCTTCCACTTTTCAGTATATATTCAATGCTGGAGAGTTCATTAGAAATTCAAATATATTTCGTTTGAAATAAACCTGTGTCAGGTTAAAAATTTATCGAGTGTGTTAGATAGTATAGGGGTTTGATTATTTTTTAGTATATTTGTTGTTTTTGTACTCAAATTGACAGATAAGAAATTTCTAGTCCAGCAGTTAACAGGATATAAATTTATGCCGCCAGAAAACTTGTTTCTACGTAGCTAGAATGAATCTGGATTTATATGGTCAAGAACTGTTACGTTAGCACCAACCTTCAAAACTTTTTTCTGGAAAGTACCTGGAATTCTATGAATATTCCAGTTTATTTGATTTATGCTAGTTACCTATTTGATTCAAAACCCTCAAAGTTTCGGCGAATCATTTGATGGAATGAATTTGACTCCACATGATACAAAGCGAGTACTTTTCACTTGAAGCTATTATAAAATCAACCTATTACTTGATAAATAGATAGAACTACTACGATTTGCAATACTTTCTTCGACTGTGAACTCAAAGCAAACATTATAGGCATTAATTCTTAAGTACAAAAACTTTATATTAACTTTTTGTAAGCTTACTTATGAATTGGGCTTTATTATATGTATCCATCGTCTCATCGTTTTGAGTGAAGCGTTTTCTTATTACTCTTTCAATTAAGGATTCTAGAAATTCAACCCACTTTTGAGAAATCCAATATTTTGAGAGATTTTAGAGATACTCTTGCAGTTACGTGTAATTTTCTATTTTTATATCGGTAAGAGATCGGCGGCTTTCACCATACTTGCATTTCTTGAAACTAGTTTGCGAAACGGTTTTTCAATTTAGGCTTTATCTCAGTGAGCGTTATAGTGGAACACCACAACTATAGGGAAATTGAAAGCTTACTGAAGCTTTTGAGAACAACTATAGCTATGAAGATAGACTTTGAAACTATACATATAGAGAAATAACAGTTTAAGCAATCTGTGGACCAGTATAAGAACTCAGATACATTACTTCAAGCATTAAAAAATATAGTCAGCTTTTTTTATGTGCTCTACAAGGCTTTAACACCATCTCAATTTTACGTGACAAATGTGAATGGCAGAAAAATTGAGTGATTTCAACCAAAAAGTAGAATATCTGACAAAGTAAATTGTTTGTGCCTCATCGGTGTGCAGACTGTTACCAGCTGTGTAGCAGAAAAAAAAACTACGACTAACATCAGCAGCACACTAAACTATTACACGAACAAAGCAACAACTATATATACGAGTATGCAGCCTTCATCACTTTTCACACTCGGCTGATGAATTTCACCACGCATTATGGACTATAGGAGCAAAGCGGAAGCGGGTGGAGGTATAATAATTTCAGTGCAAATTGAAAATTCAGTAAATATGGATACACGCACACATTTAAATAAAAAAAGAGAATGTTGCACGCAAAAACTCGGTGGAAGAAGAAGAGAAGTGTGAAATTGGAAAAGTGTCAGCTGCTGGCGCCAATCGGTGTCAAGGTGCGTTTATGCCACCGCACCGGGAATGTGTATGGGCGACGGTGTTTTCCAACTATGAGACACGTAGTTGCCACAAAAATGTAGCTGTGTTAACGTTTGTGGCATGGCACATGCGCCGCCATTTTGCCTGCACTGCTTTTGCATAACTTCGTGTTTTTTGCATTGTTCTCTGTTTTTTGGAGTATTTCCAAATGTCACTGCAATATGTGGCACACATGAGCATTGAGAGGGCGCCATTACTTTGCCACATAAAAGTGCAGAGACACTCGGTACTTCACTTGTGTGTCAACTAACTATAACAAAAATAACAACAATGCAAATAACACCAAAATTCCTCGAAGGTCCTTTGTAAGATTTGCGTGATTTGCTTAAAAAGTGTCTCTACATGCAACACTGCGTCCACTAGTGTTGCAACACGGCCATCACATTGCAATTTTCGGCAAATTCAGTGCGAAAAGAGTGGAAGTTTACAGTTGTAGCTATGCTTGAAGTACTGCAGAGGCGTAAATAATAAATGGCTGCAAAACACTTAACCTTGGCCGCGCGAATGAATTACGAGTGAGCACGTTTGCAACAGTGGTTGATGACTCTGTTTGAAGTGAATTTAAAATTTAATGCTTCTTAAATATTTTCAGCAGAAGTGCTAGTGAATCGTGAGCGTTCTAAATATTATATTAAGGGTCTTCGATGATTTTAAGGGAATTCAGGAATTTGAACAAATTTATATTTTTGCGCCTGGGGCCTTAAAGTGAGGCGTCAACAACATAACATGACTTTTTCTGTTATCAATATTGGGTCGAGTTTCAAACGACTTCAAAGAGCAAATTCGACATGATATATGGGGATAATAATACTACTAGTCTCTTGAGGTTGATTAATTTTCAAGGGTTTAGTGCATAATTTACTAAACTTGTAGATATTCATGCTACCATATCTATAGTGTTCAATTAGATATATGAACTCGTATGAGATGGAGAAAGACGGAAATTTAGAAAAGGACAGAGGCTGGAATAGTGGAGAACAAACATATATAGACTGTAGTAGAAACTGAGCAAGTGGAGGGGAGAAAGAAGAGTACAGAGAAAAAGAAAGTGTTAAATAGCTAGGAAGTGAAAAAGTGAACAGCGGAAGTAGATTCAATTCAATACATTCCCAGAGAATAATTAATATGGTTTATATAATTACACTCAGCTTCCAGCTTTTTATGGTTTTCATAGGACGTCTGCTAATTAGGCGTCTAAAAATTTCCACAGTGAAACAAAATATAATATATTCGATGAATAATGAGATCATCTTTATTTTTAATAAAAATAAAAAAAGTAAAATATTTAACAGATAAAATATCTGATAAATATCACAAATTCCCCTTTTACAGTTATGCTATTTAGAATTACCCCGACTCCATTCTTTGGGTGTTTAACGCATATATACAGGACTGCTTCCAAGACAGAGATTAAAAGTTTGAGTGGAAGTCAAAATATATGTATGTTTAGTTAGTCATGATATTGGAAAATTATGAACAGATCAAAATTCTTAGCCATCAATTAAAACCAACAAAAGGAGATTTCCTCTTCCTAAGACTTTAAGTCGTGACAACCATACATCACTTGTTATACCACCCCACTTCCCCTGACACTTACTGACTTATTTAAGATGCCATCAATTTATTATGCTACTAAAAAATTCAGTATTTGGCAACAATTGTGCATATTTCCGCAGCATGCAACATTTTGTGGGCGTGCGAGCACGAGCATTTGTGTTCACAACATAAATGTGCATAAACTTATCTAAAGGTCCGCTGAGCGTTGTAAGCAAAAAAGAAGGCAAACAAATGCCAGTACGTGAGCGGGCGGTGAAAAGCGATATGACCGCCATTCGGTCGGCGCTAGCTGACACATATGGGGCCACAATAACTTGGATGTGAATTTATGTGTCGGTTGACTGGCTATTGGTTTCGGTTGCTTGGATATTTCGTCGGTTGCAGCATGTCAGGGTCGATGTTTGGCAATCGTCGCCACACGAAACATGACATTTGAATTGAATTTGAAAATTTCCGTTGCAATTGCCATTCGCAAATCGCAATTGGATCTGTCGTTTGAGTTTCGAATTCAATGCGCTATAAGCTGCTCTGATGTGCCACGTACCCATGTGGTAGGCACATTTGTAGCTGTATCTGTGTCTTGCTCTGCTTTCAATCCATTTTCAAATGTTTTTGCTTTATAGGTGCCCAGTAATGAAAATGCAAGTATTTTGTTAATCGGAAAAGTTTTTATTTTTGTGTTTTCTTGCTTTTCTGTTTTTGTGTGGCATTTTTTTAATTGACATTTCAAGCTTTCGGTCGCCAATAGAAAGAAATCATGCACAACACTACATACTGGAACGTGAATCGTATAATCGTGTGGTCAGCAGCCGAGCGAGGACAAACGTATCGCAGTGCCTGAAAGAAGCGAGGTTGCTGCCAGGTTGGAATGTTGAGATTTTAAAATTGAAGACAAGGTCTTGGTATGATCTCCTATTAGCAAGATAGCGCTCCATTACACAGTCTTTTACCCTGACGATGTTTACACAAACAATGCGGTAGTCGTTTGAAAAGGAAGATGAACCACTATCTCTTTTAATATTTTAACATCCTGGGTAGAACCCTGTTGTTATTTTTTAGTTCTATATTTCTTTGACCAAACTTGCTAATCCAGATGTTTGTAAAATTGTTGTCATCTTATATCCCTTACAAATCCAAGTGAAAGCCAATGCAGCACCAAAGAGATGAGGTTGGAAGAGTAGAGAGCTTGCCAGGCATACAAGGAATTTGGGTATTTGTATCAATGCAAAATGTTATTCGTTGCTTCCGAATTTCGTTTTCTTTATTGCATTCGTTTGCGATTATATATGCATACGCCGGCTAAAGTACTCGTCGCTGCTCGCTACTTTTTTCGGCCTTTGTGGTTTGGCATTTGGTAAAGTGTTGAGGCCACTCTAGCTTTTGCTTACTCACTTACAAAATCAGAGAAAAAATGTGCTTAGTCAGAGACAATCGTAGCGTACAGGTGGTAAACTTTTCTTTAAGGTTTTTATCTAAAGAATAAAGTTTGCGGGCGTCTCTGTCACAATAAATTTCGAAGCTGAGTAGTACATGAATTTTTCATTTTCAAGAACGCGTAAAACTGGAACCGAAGCCGTTTAGTTCACGACATTACAAATAAAAGTGGAGTTGAG